TACAGTGGCTGTGCTGATGGCCACAGACAGGATTTACAGTGGCTGTGCTGATGGCCACAGACAGTATCTACAGTGGCTGTGCTGGTTTAGTTGTTGGTTAGGCTGGAAGAGCATGTGCAGCATAGAGCATCCTCACTGATGACCTTGCTGGGCATAAATGATAATGACACTGAGCTGCCTTTTCCTTTTCCAAATTGCAGTGATCACTGTTTGATTTATCTCATTTGAGGTAGCAAATATAATTGTTATAAAGTTTGGGAGGTATGAAATATATATTTTAAATATTGACACCCCCCCTCTTTTTTTCCTGAGTGAGGAACATACTAAATGCTTGGCAACTTTTGTACTTTTCGTGGGAAATGAGAAATTAATTTGTATCTTCTTTATCAGTTATATAAGGATTTAAGATGGAAATTCTGTTTCTTTAGATAAATTAACTTTGAAGATCCCTTGGAAAAACCTTTATGGAGAAGCAGTCATTGCCACCCTAGAAGGATTATACCTGCTTGTGGTCCCTGGAGCAAGTATGTTGTCTTACATTGTAATCATTAAGTAACATTGCAAAGAAGTGAAATCGTTCTCTGTGCAGTGTTCTAGTATAATGAGGAGACTAGACTGTATGTAAGAAACTGATCATGTGTACAGTGCGCTTACATATGCGTAACATGTATCATCACATTTGTGTACAGAGTGCTGTGCTGTTGCTGGAGACAGTAAATTCAGTCTATTTTAAGCTTATTTTCCTTGAGCACTTATCTTGTATCTGAAGTTTTTTTAAGTTGAGATGCACTTGACAGATGTACTATTGAGGAATGAATTGAAGTGTACCAAAATGTTAATTTACATATTTCAAGACTGGAAACTCTTCCTGCATCTTGTTGCTTCTGACTTTAAACAACTGTTCTTTCAAACATGTATAACAGGTAGTTTCTTCCTTAGGAATCACAATATCTTAAAATAATAGTATTTTGAAGTATTAGTTATTACTGTTTTCAGCTAAAATGGACAATATGAGAAAAATTTGAATGCTTTGGGAAAAATTACTGCCAGTTTCTCAACCATAATGCAGATATAATTTTTTATTTTTTTCATGTTGCCCCGGCTGTTCTGGAACTCATTCTGTAGATGAAGCTTGCATTGAACTTGGAGATCCAACTGCCTCTGCCTCTCGAGTGTTAGGATGAAAGGCATATATCACTACACCCAGCTTTCATTGATTTATTTTAAAGATTTATGTGTGTGCCTGCGTGAGTTTATGCTCACCGTATGTGTGCGGGTGCCCCTGGAGGCTGGAAGAGTGTCAGCTCTTCTGGAACTGGAGTTGGGAGCCACCTTATGTGGGTACTGGGAACCAAACTTGGATCCTCTGCAAGAGCGGCAAATGCTCTGAAGCTCTGTACCATATCTCCAGCACCTTTACATCAGTAGATACTAAATTTTCACCACTCAGGCAGTAGCAGTCAGTATGCTGACGCATTTTCTGTCTTCTCCTTTGCTCTTTTAGTTATCTCTCCAGCCTTTTCCAACTTCCCTCTTTTCAGCTACCTTCTTCCTCCTAATTTCTTTCTTTTTTTTCTTTGTCTTGTTTATAAACAAATAGGAATAATTTATGTGTAAAGTCGTTGTAAGGTTAATCTTTGCAGGAGTGTTTTTTTGATTTACAAAGTAATAATGTATTGTAAGGAGGTTAAAATTTTTCATTTGTTTACTGATTTTATTTCTTTTTTGTGAGAATTAATTGTATGTTTTTAGGTATTAAGTATGATGCTGAGAAAGAAGAAAAATCCTTGCAGGATATTAAACAGAAAGAACTTTCCCGAATTGAAGAAGCCCTTCAAAAAGCAGCAGAGAAAGGTACAATAAGTTTATTTTAAATACCTAGACATACCTATATTTTAGACATATTTAGCGTCATTTTATAGACTTTTTATTCATTTGTTTATTTTCAAGAAAGGGTTTTACTATGTATCCCTGAATGCCCTGGAACTCATTCTTTAGACCAGGCTAGCCTCGAACTCACAGAGATCCACCTGCCTTTGCTTCCTGAGTGCTGGGATTAAAGGTGTGCGCCACCACCACCCAGATTTCTTAGTCTTTTTTAAGCCCAATTCCAAAACATGAACCTTTTTTTTTCAAATCTTAAAATACTGATTATAAATATTTCAGTGACTAACATCGAGGATTGATTGCTTTTGTCTGGTGATTACTTTATACTAAGTTTTGAATAACATTGAGGTGTCTTTGTTTTGTGTGAGTTCATTTTTTACCTTTGTGTTTGTAAGGTGATGAGGGTAAGATGTCACAGCAGATGTGGCAAGGCATTGCTGCTGTGACCCTAGTTCCCCATCTCTTCATGAGACAAACTGTTTTTATAACAAGCTTTTTCTTCAGTCTTTAACATTTCAATACCCTCAGTAATTTCTGTTTTTATCTGAGATAAGCTTGATAATTACGTTCCATTTTGATTTATACTAATTTCTAGAGCCAGGACAGAATGAAAGGAAAAGCATTATTAGTCTGCAGTGTGATGATTGAAGGACTTTTCCTGATTCCAATCTGTTCGTATCTTTCAAATCAAATCATATTTTTGTTTTTGACTGAGGTACGGTTTATTAGTATTTTGTATCGTTTCTGAGTCATTTGGTGGTGTGCTTAGGAATTTCGATGATGAAGGCAGATCGTCTCTTACAGCATAAGGTGAATATTTTTGAATCTTTGGTCCTACCGAGCATGAAACTTCTTTTTTCTACAAACAAAACAGAACGAGACAAGGCAAATATTAACTAGGAAATGACTTTAATTGCAGTCACACAGAGGGAGGCTCTTTTTTGTGGCCCTGTAATGTGAATCAGTGAGAAGTTATTTTAAAATGACTTCTTGAGCTGAGTGAGGTTGTCTAGCTCTGGCTACTCAGGAGCCTGAGGTGGGAGACCCCATGGCCCTGTAGTCTGTGCCAGTCTGGGCAGCGTAGGAGATCCTCCTCAAGCAACAGTCAGAGAAACAGTATTTGCTCCTGGAGGTTCTGACCATTGGCTCTAATCCCTTTTTGTCCCAAGTGCATATATATATGCAGAAATGTTGATTCTTTACTAGTAGTTACTAATACAGAAGCTACCATAACAGAAGAAAACTTTCCTTTTTTTTGCACTTTAGAGTGCTATCTTTCTGCTGAAACAAATATCTGCATCTGTTGGAAAACTTTTCTTTATCTGTGTTGCTTCTGTGTGCAAAATAAAGTGTGAAATGGTTTTCTGCTGGCAGTCCAGTAGGATTTTTAAAATTCAGTCTTGCTTCATTAGCATATGTAGAAATAGTTGAGTAAAAATGAGGTATGATAATTGGGAAGCGGTAGATATTCAGTTCTTCCCATATGATTTCCAGAGTAAGTTTATTGTCTTAATCTACACACATAAACGTATGCATCCATGCATAGACGTACACACACGCACGTGTGCATATGCCCACACACATGTACTGATCTAGGCATAATGGCATCGTTAGGTATAGTGATGCATAATTATACACGTAAACTCACATATATAATTAATATGTTACCCTTTCTGAACTCTCCAGCTCCCTTTTTGGCAGGCCTATTGTAGTTGCTTAAAAGTGATTGGGCATTTTCAGGGCTCTGTAAGGCGTGATCTGATCTGCTTTAGTGGTTGATGGCTAGATTGGCGTCAGGCGGACTCGTTTGGGTCTGTGGAGACGCTTGGTTTCTCTGTGGAAGCAAACACTTATGGAGCTAGTCCTGCGTTAGTCTCTTAGGTCTGTGCAGGATGTAATGCAAACGTGGCCACTTCTTGGGTGATAAGTTTTAGGATTTGTTGGAATGTATTTGAAATTCAGAAAGTGAAATTCGGTTTTCTGAATGTAGAATAGATGAATTTAGAAATTGAGAAATATGCTGAGAGATTATTTTCCCATCACGAAGAAATATGTTTTATCATTTGACTGCATTGTAAATCTTCTTTCCTAGTTTCTGTGGATATGTATCATCTTCTTGTGAGGCTTTTTATGTATATGATAAATCAGTGGTTCTCAACCTTCCTAATGTTGTGACCCTTTAATACAGTTCTTACTGTTATGGTAACCCCTAATGATAGAATTATTTGCTGCTACTTCATAATTAATTTTGCTTCTGGTATGAATTGTGATATAAATATCTGATATGAGGAGTATCTGATATATGACCCATGAGGGGTTGTGACCCACAGGTTGAAAATCATTGCTTTAAATGCTTCACACATCACGATTTTAATTATTACTTAATTCCCTCAAGTTTTTCAGTCTTACCTTCTCAGTCTTTCTTGATTTTAAAGCCTGAGGGTACTGTTGCCTGTGTAGAGGCTAGGGGAGATAAGGAGAGAGGGAATGTTCTGGCCTTCATGGCCGCCTTAGATAATAAAGAGTGAAGATAAAACTGTCATGTTGATCCACTCAAAAACATGTAATTTCCTAAAATATTGCTACCATTGTTTGGAACAAAAACTCAAGTTTTTTATTTCCTTTTTTAGAGAATTTGCTTAGCTGTAAAAACAAACAAACAAACAACTTTTCTCCTTTTATTTCTCTGGAGTAGACTTCTGTATTTGGAAGGGAGACCATATAGGCTTCCCATATGTTAGCTTCCATATTTAAAATGTTAATTTTGCAATGTAATAGCACCTACACTTAAAGATAAAATGGTTTCCCATAACACTTAGGATGATAGATGGTAGCCCCCTGGGCACACTTTGCTGTTCTTCTCTCTCACTTCAGCTTATGTTTTAGGAGTCTCAGTGCTGTCATTTTCTAGTTCACTAATGTATGACATTTCCTCGGACTTCTTGTCATGGCTGTCAAGGAGTTTCCATCTTGCTGTTTGTTTTCACTAACTAGCCCCTGTCTTCTGTTGACATTAACCCAAAGGCCACAGAGAGATTGCCTCTGCATTTTCTCAAAATCTGATGGGCCACGTCTTTTGGCTAGTTAGCTACTGTGACAAGGTCTTGTAAAGGTCTAATGACAAGATTGTGATTATATCTCCTTCCAGAAGTCTTGTTTTTCTTGGCTTACAAATACTTCTTTTCATTCTTTGTTTAATATGCTGTGTAAATGCATTAACATGTCAACATATGAATTGGTGCTTTTTTGGGTCTTTTCCAGCTGCTTTAATTCCTGTTCTGGTTTTTTTCATGTGGGCATTATCATTATTTTTTTCTTGGAGTTTTCTTTCTGCATTTTTTTCCTGCTTTACTTTTCTAGTGCTGGGTATGTGAGCCCAGCTTCCCACATACTAGACAGGAGCTCTGTTGCTGACTTCACCTTCAGTGCCCACATGGTCTAAATTTTACTTCCTTATGTTTTGGGTCTGTGTAGCCTTGCTGAGCCTGTCCTCTTATTCCTCTGTTGAATTAGCTCCTCCATGGCTCCCTTGCCTGTCATTCTTCTGTTTCCTCCTGTGTTTGCTGGACACATTGAGTAGCTCTCAGGCTATTCAAGGCTGTTCTCTCAAGGCTGAATGCTAGATTTTTCTTTGTGTAGGTTTAGAATATCACATTCAAGATCTCAAAGTGGTAGTTCACACCTGTAATCCAAAGGAGGATGAGGTAGATGAGTTTGAGGCCAGCCTCCTGGACTATAGAACTGTCTCAAACACACACACACACACACACACACACACACACACACACACACACCCCAAAACAAAACAACAACAGCAAAAAACTAGAACAAACTCTTCCCCAAGAAACCCCAGGCCTCCCAAACCTACCAACCAAACAACAATAAAAACTCAAAACGCAGTATTAAGGAGGTTTACAATTATGATTTTGCAGGCCGTGTCTGTTAGCTTCCGGGTAATTTTGAGCTGCTATACTTGTACATGTTGTTGAAAATGGAACTTTGATGTCAAGCACTTCATTTGAATTGGGCAAGGAAGGCATTTGTGTAATGACGAACAGGACAAAGGGTTAAGTCCCATCACAGAGGCCCGGTGGAGTGTTGGGAGAGTTCAGAGCGAGGTGACAGTGTTAAGTGTGTGCTTCAGTGGGTTCTGTGAACATGGGAGTGAGAGGGAGAAAGAGCGCTTCAGATGGGGCAGACAGGGTGGAGAAGTCCAGAGCACCTCTGGGAACAGCTGGCAGTTTATGGGTTTGAGAGATTATAGTTTCATGTAAGGCTGGGAAGCTAAGTTGAAATGAATTTAAAGAGATTCAAGTGTCAGGACGGTGCTGCTGCTGCTGCTGCTGATGATGACAATGATGACGATGACTACAATGACAACAATTAGCATTTATTGAATATTCATTATTTACCAGACACTCATCAAAGAGCTTTCTATGAATGAATTCACATAATAGTTATCCAGTGCAAAAATGAACTTTCGCCTCCAGCCAGTGGAGGAGTGGGAGTTCTGCAGTCTGGGCTGTTCTTCATTTGGGAGGTAAATGGCAGAGGGTGCTGTCTAGCCATTATTGACTAGAGTGGATAAAGGGTTCAGGCAGCTGCTTATCAGAAAGGAACAAGTCACACACTAAGGTAAGATGAGATTTCCTGATCTGATTTGAAAGTTAGTGGCAGATATCATAGGAACTTAATGAAAACGGGCAAGATGGCAGGCAGGAAGAGAACCCAGAGGGCAGGTTTGTGTTGCGTGTGAAATGAAAGATTACAGCGAGACCTGAGCAGTCGTTGCCAATGACCTGCCTTGCTCAATTTGATTGTTATGACTTTAATGAGGAAGAATTTTTGTCTTAATACGAAAATAAGGTTTGTGTGTTGCAAGAATGAAGCTGGTGTCACTGGGAATGTTTCTTTAGGAGTAGGTGATTTTACCATCACTGACTCTTCCCTTGTCCTGTTATGTGGTTTCTGGGTTTTTGGCATTAAGTTTAGTTGCATTTCCCATGCAAAACTGAAGATGACTTACGATGCTTTGCATTTCGGTTACTGCTGCCGTGGGACTCAGGTGCACACTCAGGGGAGTTCATGTATGGCTTGGAAAACTTGCTTCACAAGGACGTCAAGCCTGGTGGGTATGCATGGTTAATTGTACTCAGCTTCATGAAATCGATGCTCTCATCCATGCCTGAGCTTTGAGGGGAGTCCATTCGATGATGTGCCGTCCTTTGAGAAATATGGAAATGTAATTCATGTTCACACCCTTGCCATCCCTGCCTGTCCCTCCCCTCCACAGCCATTCACTCATTCACTGAGTCTTTGAGTGTCTTCTGGCAAACTGTATGCTGGGAGCTTCGTGTTTGTGAGTGAGCAAGCACAGTTCACTGGCCTGTGGAATTCTCATATTGGCAGATGACTATGAAATTCATACTGCCCTTTGGCCTTAGTTTTTTAGTACAGTAGTAATGCTTCCCAACTGAGTGCTTTCTCTTGTTTACAGCTCAGATTTTCAAATTTGCAAGAAGCAGTGAGATGGAATATATATGTATATGTATATATATATATATATTTCATTCAGAGCCTCAAGGAGGGACCTCTGTATTTCTTTTCATGTCCTCTCTGATTGTGTAATCTCTAGTCTGCTGTCCTGTACAGAGTGTTGAATCCGAAGTGTCACAAAGACAAATTGAAGGTTATCTGTTTTCTGTAGGATCAGAATGGGAATCTTTGGTACACTCAGATATGTAGCAGATATGTAGTAATAATTTTTACTATTTTAAATAAAATGTTACGTTTTTATAACTCTTCAGTGAGCTCCTTATGTTGATTTAACCACACTTTAGATTTGCTTTGACTAAATGGTAAGTGCATCTGCATCTCAAATTTTGAACAGTGAGTGCTATATTGGAATTCTTACACAGATAAGACTTCCTTAATATGTAAGTTCATTTTGACAGTGGAGTATTTGCATGGCAGAGTCACAGCATTAGGTGAAATTATCTTGAGGATAGTTTTCTCGTTTTACAAATCTACCAGGCAGTAACCATGGCGGACTGTTAATTTGTTACTTTGTTCAATACAGAGGATAGCATGGGGAATCTCGGGCTCATTGTGCATTTTTATAGGCTCTCTGTTTTCTCCGGGGCCGGTGTTTTCTGGTTCCTTTAGGGAGAACCTGCCTAGAAGGTGTAAGTGGATGCTGGTGATCCATCCTGGTACCTTAAACAATCACCAGACCTTGTTAAAAGCCAGCAGAAGCCACAGTGAAGGAAGCCATAGCTAATTCATTATCTTTCTTTTTTTTAGACTTTAATGCTGGATAAAGTGAGACTCATGGTACAGTGAGAAGAGTTCATTTGATGATGGTATCTTCAGTCCCTTCACTAGGAACTAATATGTTCTTATGATAGTTACCCTTTCAGTTTCAGAGCGCATATTCCCTTATTTCGTGCCACTTTTTTTTTAAACTCTAAAACAGAGATTCTCAGAAAGGCAGAGCTATTTCCATAATGATATTAAAGCATTTAATTTTTTCATTTAGTTGAAATTTGTATGCTGGTGTACAAGCAATGGCTTGAAAACTCAGTGGCTGCCATGGCCTGATTCATGGCCTGAGGCCTCTTTGTACCAGTAGTCATTGTGTCCTTTGCTACTGTTTACCCATTACAACAACAAAAGAAAATAAAATGTGGCAGTATTTCTTCAGGTTTATTCTTGACAAAATAGAATTATAATTTTGACAAACATGAGCTCTTGAGCAGGTCTCTAAGATTCTGTGGGACAATATGTGTGACGCATTTCCGAATGCTCAAGTAGGTTGGTTCTCAAGGATGGCCACCTGTGCAGATGTGAAGGTCATTTGTACTCAAAGGACTGGCAGGTTGTCATCACTCGAGTTTGCGCATGTAGCTACAATGCAAAACAATGCAAAACCTTGTGCTTTTAAGGACAGTTGCAATTTTAAGAACCCCAATCTGCCACCTCCCATTTGACAGCCACCTGGTATGGCCAGACCTTCCCATGAGACTGGTGGTGGTTCCAGCAACTGTGCCGCTTGTGTTAAACATTGACAAGACCAAACACGAGGAAGCTTTGCCTGGCTCATGGCAGCAAGATTGCCATATAACCAGTGAATGATGAGTCATGGCTGTGTGAAAGGCCCATGTCATGTGCGAGATGGCCAACTGATTTTAATTTGGTTGACTATAATTAGATTATATATTTCATATATAATCTAAACAATTAAGGAACTCTACTTATTAAGCTCAAGTGCATTCCCCATAATTACACAAAAGACTGTGAAAACACTTTTCACTTTTCCAGTGGCATATTTGTTTTAAAGTCATATTTTCATCATGTACTTCAATCAGAACAACGTATCTCAGCAGATTGAAGGCAGCAGATATGTAAATCTTGCCATCTTCTATTAAGCCAGATATTAAAGAGACTTATAAAAATCCCACTGTGACATATATATATATATATATATATATATATATACACACACACACACACACACACCTGTATGCATAACTATAAGTAATTAAATAATGGTTTAATATTATTTTGAATGAATTAAGAAAATAGTTTGTTTCTAGCATGGTAAATATGAATAATAATAGCCTGTATTACTTAAAATCTCTTCAAATTGCTCATGCTTTAAATGTGAGTTAAAGGTCCCGAGACCAAAGTTTTGAGAACCATTTTAGAGTATTTGAGAATCATAAATTTATTCTTCAATAGATTAGTTAGAGACTTTCTCTCATAACTGTATAGCGCTCTTACAGATTTAAAACAGTTTTAGGAGGCTGATGTGAAGACGGAACAGAAGCTAGACTCCTGTGAAGCTAGAGGGCTAATGGCTCAGGTCTGGAGTCAGCCGAGTGGAATGGTCTCCAGGCAATGCTGGCTTTTCTTACTTTTTCCCAAGTGACGTTTCTTTGAGAACTCAGTCTTTCTGTATGTGTACTTTATGGAGTGGAATCAGGAGCTGTCACTTGTCAGGAAATGCTGGTTGCTGTCTGCGCCACCTGGCTTCTGTTGCGTGGTTAGATGCTTTCTTCTGAAAATTTGGGGTTTATTCTTGTTCTCTGAGTTCACGTCTTAATTTTGTGGTAGAACAATTTGCAAATGTCAGCAAAATAGAACAGAATTTGTAACTACATACAAATGCATTTCCATCTTATGTATTTTGTTACAATGTTTATGTATGGATGTTTTAGTTCATTTGAGCAGACAAATGTTGTATACTTTTGCTTGGATATGAATCTCCGTCTTTGGAAGCCTCATGTTGGATGGGAGCCTCTGCCCACTGGCAAAAAAACAAACCTCAGGCAAACACTTCAGATATAGCATAGTTCAGATATAGTGTTTATTGTGTAAGGGCTGCACAGAGTTGTGGAACGTTTCATTCAGGTGGTGAGCCATACAGCAGCAGCGCTGGACACGAGACAGGGACACCCAGAAGTCTGCCTGGTAAAGAATTTGAGGACGGCAGCCAGTTAACAGAGCCGTGTGCAGGGAGGCAGTGGGCATTGGCCTTAGTGTATTTTGGAAATTACAATTAGCAGCTCTGCGGTTTCCCACCCTCGAGTGAATGGCAGGAGGAGCAAAGACCAGGCCTGTGTCACGCAGACACATTTGATTTTATTTGTCGGGCCGCAGAGAGCCTTTAAATGATTTGGAACGGGGTCTTGACAGGTCAACTAGTGTTTTAGATGCAGTAGCAGTGCAGAAGGTCCTTCAGCAGGAGGTGAGGGTGGGAGCTGAGTCAGGACTCTGCAGGACCCCCCCCAGGAGTTCAGGTCACAGCGGCTGCTGGTTGAGTACAGCGTTCATAGGTTGGGTAAGAAAGGTGTTGGTTAAGGTGAAAATTCCAAATAAAAAGGATACAATTTAAAGGAATTACTGCCAGGTGAATATACTATTTAGTATATGTTTTATGCCCTTATACTTTTATGAGCTAAACAGCATGCTCAAGCAGTTTTGTGAAGAGGAGGCCATCAGCACTCCACCCATTCATCCCATTTGTATTCCTATGTCCCTGCCACACATTGCTCAAAACCTTCCCTGAAGGTTTTATATCATCAACATTACATTTCCAATATTTTGCTAACATTGAACTTAAAGTGACGCTGTAATGTGTAGTTATATTAGAACACCATTGGGAATAGATATATTTTATCAGTATTTTGTATAATTGTACCTGCCAAGTTATTCTCTAGATTAAAGGTTGCTCTGTGCTGCAGAATGCTAATCTAGTGAAGAAAGCTTGTGAGTTTGTGTTTATGTTGAAATAGTAGGTCAGTCAGTGTAGACGGAGGTAAGTTTCGCTGAGCTTTGATGTCAGGAAGAAGTCTCTGATTTTCTTTTCTGTCCTCTTGTCTGCTAACTTGACTTTTATCCTTTTCTCACTAAAATGCTTCCACTGAGAAGGACGTAAGCGTAAAAAGCACAAAAAACATTTTAAGAAACGTTTTAAAGGTCTTGATCGCTCCAAAGGTAGGTACAAGCAGTTCTCTACCTGTGCTGTTTATACACCTTCATTTCTGTCTTGGAAGGTGAAATGAACGTTAGTGTGCAGTTTAAATATAAAAACTGAATTTTACGTTGGAACCACATATCAGACTGTAAAATAAGTCTAAGACCCTAGAATACGTTGTAATTTCCATTACATAGTGCCTTTAGCACTCCTTGGCCATCAGTCATGAGATATGTGAGAACTGCAAGTTTTGAGCAACTAATTTTCTCTTTTTCATAGATAAGCCCAAAGAAGCAAAAAAAGATACGTTTTTGGAAAAATTGGCAACTCAAGTAATAAAAAATGTTCAAGTGAAAGTTACAGACATTCACATTAAATATGAAGATGACGTAAGTAATTTCAGTGTTCAAATTGGCCATTAAATGTTTTATGCTGTTCTGTATTTATGATATTCCATCTGTAGATTATGTGAACCTAACTTAAATTTAAGATAGCCACCCCCCATAGATATGCCAGCGTTTCACTCTTTCCACTGGGCCGTGTCAGCCGGGCCGTACATACAGAAATATAGTGTAAAGCCACTGCATGGATTGACTGTTCTCTGTGCTTATTTGGAGTTTGTTGCATATGTTATGATTTAACTTTAAGAAACTAAACTTGGGGGGGGCTGGAGAGATGGCCCAGAGGTTAAGAGCAATGGCTGCTCTTCCAGAGGTCCTGAGTTCAATTCCTAGCAACCACATCTGGCTCACAACCATCTGTAATGAGATCTGGTGCCCTCTTCTGGCATGCAGGTGTACATGCAGGCAGAACACTATACATAATAAATAAATCTTAAAAAAAAAAGAAACTAATTTTGTTTTTATATTGCCAAAACAATTAATTGTGAAAGGTGACGGAGTGGTTATTGTAAGGGCAGTCAGCAGCACAGCCTCTGCGCGGTGTCCATACACCCTCTTACTAATCCCTGGAGTGGACCTGGCCACTCAGGAGCACTCACAGTGGGTTTTGAACCAGTCTTGATGCAAGTCAACTTGGATTCTCTTGTCAGTTTGCCTTGCTTGACTAGAGTAGAAGAATACTGACAGAGAGCATTTTATTTCCTTTTCCTGTGTAACAGTATTCAACAGGATGTATTTGTAGTTTGGGAAACCACTCCACTGCTCACTTGATCCTTTGGCTTTCTGGAGGAATAGAGTGAATTTGGATAGCTCAACTCAGATGCCATTGTTTACAACAAGCCAGCAAAAATGTATACAATATTCCATGGAAATGAGCTATTGTTAAAGCTGCGTGGAGAAATGGGGCATTTCTGTACTGAATGTGGGTGTGAATGGAAATGATTATAACTAGTTTTGAAATCTGGAATGCATTTCCTGAAAACCTAAGATGAAGAGTACCAGAAGATCCAGCTGATTTCTGAACATATAGTTGAATAAATTGAATAAACTATCTTGAAGCATTGTTCATAATAGCCTAGATACAGAAGCAGCTGAAATGCCCTGGGCAGGTGAATGGAAAAAAAAAAAGTACTATATATTTGCACAGTGAAATAGTATTAGTTCTGAAAACAGGCAATTCTGTCATAAATAACAACATGGCTGGAGCTGGTGATTGTCATAAACTGAAATAAACTACTTACACAGAGAAAAATTCTGCATAATTTCAGATATATATCTGAGTATGGGGCTTATAGGTACATACATGTAAGCTGACTCCATTACATATTTATATAAATAAATATTTATATGTGTTAATTACAAATAAAGTATATGAAATGCTTTGTGCTTTCCAGCTACCCAGAGCATGCACACGTATTTCCTGTCTGATAAGGTTCTGTGTGACAAGACTATGGAGTCCATTTAGATGAAGAGAATAACATTTACAGTTCTTTCTCTTGTAGTTCATGCCTCTATCCCAAGCAAACAGTTGTCTGTTGCTTTCAAATATCTCCCAGTGGTCATATACAACAACATATACAGTGTGAAAGAGGCTAAATGCCATTTATAAATAATCAAATTTTAGAGATAGTAAAGCAGTTTATCATTGGTAGATTTCTGGTAAATATACGTGGGGAATTAAATGTTAAGATTCTAAAGCCTGGCTTCAAAAGGAGGATTGAAAGTTCAGGACCAGGCTAGAATACAAAGTGAGATCCTGTCTCAGGAAAACCAAAACAACCTCACCAAAACACAAAAACTAGAGTTTTCCCTTACCAGGCATTTTTGAAGTGTCAGGGGGAGCAAAGTTATAAAGATTGTTCATGTTTCCAAAGATGGAAATCTTAAGTGTTGGAGCAGTTATTTAGTTGTGTCGTCATTATCTGTGAAGAACACTGTGATATTCATAAAGGACTGTCTGTTTCTAACCATCTAAGGAAGAGTCTGCCCGTCATAGTTACAGAGCTTCTTAGTTGTAGAGTTCTGGGAAAATACCATGTTAGTGGCATAGGAGCTGTCATAATGTTCCTATAGAGGGACACATAGTCTTGTCTTTGTTGGTCCTGTGGGCTGTGTGACTTCCTCCTGGACATGTGTCTACCTGATGACTATTGTTATTTTTATTATCAAGTTTATATTTTATTTTAAATTTAAATTTTTTTTGAGAATTGCATACACAAACACTGTATTTATATAATATAATTTCCACCCCTCCTTCCCGCCCCCTCCAACACACTGCTTCTGTGTTCCCCATTCTTGTCTCAAGCTCAGGGCCTCTTTTTAAATCATTACTTTTAGTTACACAAAACCAAAAATAACCTGAGTCCATTTGGTGTCGTTCAAATGTGCATGCGCTTGGGGCACACACTTACGGGGAATGCTGTCTGTCTGAAAGGTTCTACCATTTTGTATTGATGTTCCCTTTCTTTTTTGGTAGGTCACTGATCCAGAAAGGCCACTTTCATTTGGTGTCACGCTGGGCGAGTTTAGTCTATTGGTAATGTTGGCTTATTTAAAATTTCTGTGGACGTGGTAAAGTACTAACGTTCGGGAAACCAGCTGAATTGCCTATGGCACGTTGTTTTAAGTAGCTTTTATATCTCTGAAGAATCCTCTTGCTGAACATGTTTAGTGATACCTTTGTATTTAGTAATTATTTTGATTTTTTTTTTTTTACATGTTTCCACATAACAAATGTTAAACCATTTAGGAGAAATGAATCCTGCACCTCACATGTGTGTGGAAGGAGCAGATGACTGGGAGTGTTCCGAGCTCCTACTTGGTATTATTTTGTAAGATCTCTAGAGAGTAGGCAAAATGTGTGTGTGTGTGTGTGCGAGGGAGACTGGAATGTGGTGTTATTCATTTTGATTAGATATTTAATAACGCAGATTGTTTTCTCTGTAGTCTCTTAAGCACTAAGCACTATGCATAGAGTATGCATAGGGTGGATATTGGATATTTCTACTGTTGTAAGAAACACGAGAAACATGCTTGGGGACTTGAAGTAGCTTTTGACAAAACAGAATATTCAGTAGCAGTACTGTCTGCGAGAGCAGGAAGTGAGTTCTCAAGGGTAGAGGGATCCCCAATGCAGAAAAGGTAGCCTAATAGTAGCCTTCATAAACAGTGTCCTGCATCTTGAACTTCCAGCATCTAACAAGTGAAACAAAAAATGGGAACTAGCAGCGTGCGGCCCCTGGTCTGTAAGGGCACACTAGAGCAGGTGGTCTCCTGACATGTGCTGCTGTGAGTCCCCAGCCTTTGCTCAGTCTACACTGTTTTACTTGCCTGTGTAGCTGTTCCCTGTGACAGCCTGGTAATTCTGCTCTCGTATTAGAACTCATATGAATGAGTGTCTTGCCTTTGCCATTTGTTTTTACTTCTTAGAGTTTATCGGCCCCTTCATGCTTCTTGTTTCATTGTGTCAAGATCCATAGCATGTTATTATCCCAGGTACAGAGCTGGGCTTCTAGATAAACAGCACTTAACAGCTGATTCAGAGACCTTCTTTTTTTATTTTTGTAAGACTGAGCCTATTAAAGTGTGTGGCTCATTGTCTGCCTCAGTTATGTCTTCCTTCAGCTGCTGGGATCTTACTGATCAGACACTGTCTTTCATCTTCCCATAACAACCTTACTTCCATATGAGCCTCTGTGTTTGCAGCTCTCATTGTCTGCATATTCCCAGAAATCTTCATTTCCTTCCACTTTCTGTCATCCTCTCTCTTCAAGATCAGCTTTCTTTTCTCTTTCCCTAATCTTCCGATAAGCAGTTAAACACTTTGTTGAGACAGTATCTCATTGTGTAGCCCTGGCTGGCTTAACTTACTACGCAGACTAGGCTAGCCTTGAACTCATCAAGACCCTCTGCCTCCTGAGTGCTGGTATTAAAGGTGTGTGCTATTATGCAAGTCTTAAACATTCTTGTCTCTTCCTCACAGCAAAAATGAAAAAGGCTCTGCTTAACTTTTCATCCCCAGCCAGACTCTCTAACCACCTCCTCTTCTCCACCCTCTTTTCAGCCAGGCTTGTTGAGAACTGCCTGCTTCTGTGTCTGACTCCCACGCAGTGCGTCTGGCCCTTCTGCTTGTGGAATCGTTCCTAGGCAGCCCTTATAATGCCCTCCTCATGGGTGTTACTTCTTGGCCTTGTCAACTATGCTGAACACAGGGCTGTGCTCTGACTTCCGTGCTCACCGTGCTTCTAACCTAACGTCCAGCAGTCTTTATTTTTAAGATTGTGTACCTTCCTCACAACGTACATACAAGTTCCCTGGTTTTATTCACGTCTATGGCTTCACACATACTGTAACCAATAATAACTTCCTAAATGGAGGCATCCGGTTTCTCCATTAGAAATCCCAATTAGAGGTCCTTCAGTTTTAATTTTCATTGCTTCATTGATTTTTTTCATATAAATATATAAAATAACAGCTAATATCACCTGACATTACATAAGCAACTTTTAAACTATGTGTTTATTTTGTGTGTGTGTGTGTGTGTGTGTGAGAGAGAGAGAGAGAGAGAGAGAGAGAGGAGGGGACATGCATGCACCACAGCACACATATGGAAATCAGAGGACAACTTGCTTTCTCTTCTGTTTCTCCTTTTACTGTCTGGGTCCTCAGGTTGAATTCAAATTGGTGGCAAATGATTTTACCCACTGAGCCATCTGACTGGCCACTTTACTTCCTAAATTACTTGGATTTTGCTTACAGATACTAGAGTTTTATATGACACATGCTGCTTGGTAAGGGTTGACCTTCTTTTCTTTTTAGACGACAAATGAACACTGGACTCCATGCATTTTAAATGAAGCAGAAAAAATAATATATAAGGTATTATATTTTTCATATATAAGGTTGTAGACTTTCTTAGTGGGGATCAATTTTTTGCGTTCGTGGATAAGATCTTGAGGCGGGGCTAGAGAGATGACTCAGGGGTTAGGAGCAATGCCTGTTCTTCCAGAGATAGTGAGTTCAGTTCCCAGCAACCACATGGTGACTCCTGAGCATCTTTAATGAGATCTGGTGCCCTCTTCTGATGATCAGGCTCTCATGCAGGCAGAACACTTGTGTACATAATACATTTAAAAAGAAAAAGATAATGAAGCACTGAAATAATCTTTTCATCCAGAATATAGGACAGAGAAGCAACATCAGAATTTAGCCGCTGAAGCCAGCTTGGAGAGGTGTCTTATTTCACTTTGCCTCCAAAATGTGATCATTTAGTCATTTTAATGCAAACTCTGCTAAAGTGTTGTTAAGAAGATTTTAAGGATAGCTCAAAAGTAACACATCTAAGTCCTCGGAAACGTTGGGAAGGCGTAGGAGTAAATAGAAGTACATTTGGTTTCTAGTAAATAAACCAATTCTTAGTAACTGGCCATGTAAAATGCTAGTATTTAGAGGATACCTGATGACCTTTGTATTTATGGCAAAATTAACAAGTGGCATACCGGGCAGTATTTTTGTTTTGTTTTGCTTTTTTTTTGAGACAGGGTTTCTCTGTGTAGCCTTGGTTGGACTCGCTTTGTAGACCAGGCTGGCCTCAAACTCCCAGAGATCTGCTTGCCTGTGAATGCTGGCTCCCTGAGTGCTGAGATTACAGGCGTGTGCCACCATGCCTGGCTGCCAGGCAGTGCTGTGTATGCAATCACAGGCATCCCTGATCGCACCTCTCAGTGTGGTAATCTACTTATTTTTAACCTTAAAGACATCTGCTATATTTATGGAATCACTGTTGTGTGATTCTAAATTTTAGCCACTCAGGATTCTGGGTGGTTTACATACGGCTACTATTGAATTTAAAAGAGTAAATGTTGTGTTTTAAATGGGCTTTCTTAATCAATTTATTAAATAGCCTATTTCTGAGTTTTAAAATAACACTTGCTGCCTTTGACAGACTTAGGTATTTCATACCAATTGAGTGTTTAACAATCTGCCTCATAAAGCAGAAACATGTAAAAAGTGTGAGGTGCCAGAGGTATTTTAACAGGGTTGACGTGTTCCTTGGCAAAGTTAGGTCATTAGGGAAAATTGTGTTTAGTATAAGTGGCTAAGTAAACCTAAAATGCCTTGGCTCTTACCCTTGCTTTTTTTTTCAGTTTGTTAGTAAGGGTGAGTCAGGGGTGGAAACGTCTAAGATGTGGTTTGGATTCAGCTTTTTACCACGTGACTCTCTGTGGTCACATATCTACACTGCGACGTAGGCTCTTCATTCATCAAGCGAGGGATCTGGGTGCAAGTAACGTCCCCAAGTGGTACTTTATGAAAGGCAATTGAGGTCTTAGATGTAGCCTGAATAATTGGTGGTCAGGCAAGAGCACCGGTTAAGCTCACGCCACACTCACCGAGCAGGGGTGTGCTCTGTGCTTAACTGGAGAACTCAGTGCTTGACACGATTCATAGTCATCTCCCAGCGGTGAATCAGCCAGTCTGTTGCTCCTCCGCTTTATTGCCCACAGGCTCCTTCCCACAGTCCTCTCCAAGGCAGCCACTGATAACTGCTGGAGGGAGCTTGTGTTTTCTTATCTAACAAACAGTCTGTTAGATGCTCATTTTTTTTTTTTTTCACTATTTGATAACTGAATGACTGTGAATCTCCTGAAAATGTGTTTCCAGAAACACATTAAAAAATGCTCTTCACATCAGCACCTTCAAAAGATATGAAATACCTAAGTCTGTCAAAAGGAGCAAGTGCTATTTTAAAATTCAGAAACAGGCTATTTAACAAATTGATTAAGACAGCCAATTTAAAACACAACATTTACTCTTTTAAGTTCCAGAGTGGCCATATGTAGATCACCTAGAATCCTGATTGACTAAAATTTAGAATCAAGCAACATTAAAAAATTGAAAAATGCTAAACTTAAGAAGTCCTATGTATAGACTCTCTTTCACTTTTGTATAATGTCTTTCTTTTAAACGTTCAGACTTTCAGTGAACATGAGGGTGGTTGTTGAGTGCTGATTTATGGTCTTGCTTGACTGCTTTTGTTTTTCTTGCATAGCTTGTGAAGCTTGACAGTCTGAGTGCCTATTGGAATGTTGGCTGCTGCATGTCTTACCATGGATCAAGGGAACACATCTTGGTAATTTCACATTCAGCCTTAAAGTGCTAACTACACATCCTAAGTGTGTTTAAAAGGGGAGGTCCTTAATGAGGACAGGCTGCCAGCCATTTTTTTAACTGGCGTATCACTAAATGAGAAGTATGAAAGAAAACTTTGGCACTCCGTTCTGTCTCTTCGGAAGAGCACTCTGATAATGAAGGTCTTTTGAAACCATTCACTCGACAGAGCCAGGGAAGTCTACTGCAGGGTCCTCTGTTGTCACTCATCCACATTTTGGTGGCCTTCTTCTTATGCTGTGTCCTGTAAGGAGGATTAGGAGAGTCCACCTATCAGACCTGGAACGCGTGTTTCTTACAGGTGTTCAAGTAGCTAGGATGGTGATTTCCTGCCTCCAGTGTGGAGTGTACTGAGCGAGGATCTTATTTCTTCAGTTAGAAGGGAGGCAGAACAGTCACATTTTCTGAATTAGATACAATCTAAGACTCCAAAAACACTCTAACAGAGCCTCAGCCTTTGACTAGGACTTGTTGATATTTATCTGTCTGTGGATGGTTTTCAGAGAGGAGCGTAATATTACATTTCTAGATACTTTGGACTTTGTGTCTTTATTGTAAATAAAAATAACTGTAAATTCACACTTTACATTTTTCTAATGAATTAGTTGTTACAAAAAGATCAATGAAGGTACTGATGTGAGAACCAATTTTTAAAAAGAAATTTGATTGCAAGGCTAAGTGTGTATTTCTCTTTAATTCTCAATTTAAATCTCTTTAGGATCAACTGAAACGTGAAATTCTTACAAGTAGAAACATCCCCCAAAACCATCAGTACAGTGAGTACCAGGGAGAGTTCGTTTTTAGAAGAGACATGGAGGTCAATGTTTTCATCAGCTTTTCTGAATGAAGTTGCTGTAACAAACAGAATGTGTTAATTTTATGGTCTTTTGCTTCCAGCATGCTTATTTGGATTGTAACTCCTTAGGACTAGGCTATATGCCCACAGCACTAGAGCATGATGGAGGAGGACAGAGTGCCAACCTCCTTCGGCCTCTGTGCTTTCTCCTACCTTGTTACACTGTTCTTCGTGCTGCGGGGTGGGCTCCTCTTCCTCCCCCTTCTCTCCCTTCAGTCTCTTCTCCCTCACTTCTTCCTCTTTTTTTCCTTCTTTTTCTTTCTCTGTTTTGGAATGTCCAAGGTTGCGGGATTCATGTCCCCTCTGCCCATGTAAGCCAATCACGCTGGGTATTTTTAGAAGTGAATTCTGTGTTTTGGCGGCTTCCCTTTCACTTCTCAGACAGAGTCGCCCGCTTATTTATTGACTGCTTTTCCATTGCAGTTTCATTCTGAGAAGCTGTTTGTTTTTATTCAGTGAGCGTCTTTGTAATCCTCCTTCGCCTCCGTGTCCATTTCTTTCTCTACTCCAAATTGTCCTGTTCTCTGTGACTTTCTTCCTGACCTTTGGAGCTCCTTGCCATTGGATGATGGCGCGCTCTGTTATGTTTATACACTTGAGAAATGACAAAATTTTGAGATGTTCCCCGTTGGTAAAATAACTAGTTCAGAAAAATATACAACTTATTTCTCAGGAATTTATGAATAGCATAAGTCAGTCAAAATGCTATACAATTTAATACAAATTATGATTATTATAAGGTAATACATTCCTATGGCTTTGATATTCTTTCATAGTTAAAATGTATCACTATTATCATTCCAAGTAGACTTTTTGTTTTTACTGTCACCCAATCTCAAGAGTATTTTTAGTTTTTCTTAAGGTTGTTTGTATATGACCAATTTGAAGACAGTATACTGATAATTTGTTTTCTAGGACAATTTTATTTATGTTTCTGTTTCTAAGTTTTGTCAATGTTTAAGAGAGAAAATAGATTTTATTTCTCTCCTTGTTTTAATATTTTTAAAAAGATTTATTTATTATTTATACAGTATTCTGCCTGCATATGTGCCTACATGCCAGAAGAGGGCACCAGATCTCAGTGTTGATGGTTATGTGCCACTGTGTTTCTGGGAATTGAACTCAGGGCCTCTGGAAGAGCAGCCACTGCTCTTCTCTCCAGCTCTTGTCTTAATATTTTATATGAACAGTAAATTATTAAATCACAGAGAAACCCAGTTGTAGACAGACAGTCTGTGTTTCATGTTCTCCTCACCTGGGAACATGACTCCATGTGGAGACAGGGTTTAACCAGCTGCCTAATCTGTTTCACACAGATAAGTGGATTCTTATACATCACTTTCTCTCTGTCTCCCTGTCTCTCTCTCTCTGTCCTCACCTCTCTCGGTCTGTCTCTCTTTTTAAATGGAAAACATTTTTTTTTTTTAATACACTGTGTTCTGATCACCGTTTCCCCTCCCTCATTTCAGGTTCTCCCTATATGCCCATGCACCCAACTCCGTATCTTTTTCTCTCTGTGTGTTTTGTTCTATTCTGGCCTGTTTGCTTTTCTATTTGCCTGTTTTCTAAAGAGAGAAAAAACAAACAACAAAAACGAAGAAAAAACACAGGAAGCACACACACATTCAGACAGTGCAGAAAAGCCATAAAAACACAAGATTGGAAACCATAATACATAAACAAAGAGACCAGGAAAGTAAAATAATGCCCGGACAAAGCATAATGAGACAAAAACAAACCCCCAAATACTAAAGAATGTTGTACATCTATTGCTGGGTTTGGGGCCTGTCCTTAAGTGTGGTTTGTAGACCCAGTGAGACTCCCTTGGAGAAACTAATTTTTCCTTTGTGAGCAGTTGTTAGTTGGAGATAGCTTTTTGGTCAGGGTTCAGGTCCCATTCCCCCTCTCAGTGCTGGGACCCATCTGGGTTGGACCTGTGCAGGCCTGGTGCATGCTGCCACTGTTTCTCTGAGTTCATATGCCTTGCATATTTCTTGGTAGTGGTCCTGTTGCACATACATGCCATAATTTACTTTTTTACTTTTCAAGTGCAGTATTCTCATAGTTACTTATAGTTGTTCACAGTTGTGAGCGCATAAACCTGTCTTATGCCTTCCCGTGTGCTGTCAGTTTTCCAGCCAATATCAGCCTCTGCAAAACTCTACATGAATCCTGGTGCAGAGTCAGAGCTCAAAACCCCCAAACTCGATGGGAACGTAGAAGTGCAGAATATCGCCATTGAGCTGACGAAGCCTCAGGTAACGGCCCCTCAGACAGCTCTGGCTTTAGTCAGCCCTGTATTCTGATTGCTCTTGTCCTCGTCATTAGTCAGTCTTGATGGTCAGCTGCTACTTTTTTTGACATTTGATAAAAAAAAAAAAAGAAAATTAAAAATGAGAGATTTCAGACATAGTTTCCATTAATCTAATCTTTTTTTTTTTTTTTTTTTTTTACAAATGAAGCTTGATCTTATTAAACTGTACTGAATGGTGTTATTTTCTTTTAATTCATAATTGCAGGAGAATTTCAGTGTAGTCTTCTCTTTTCATCTTTTAGATGTATGTGTGTGAGTGTGTGTATGTGTGTATACGCATCTGTGCATGGGTATAGGCTCAGAGAAGAAGCTGAAGGAATTAGTTATCTCCCACTACCTTGTGGGCTTTGAGCATTGAACTCAGGTTGATGCTTGTGTATGGTGTTGGAACCTCTGGGAATATATGGGCACTCGTGCTTGCAAGAGCCTCAGGGGATAGGTGAGGGTATTAGATCCCAGAAACTGACGTTATTGGGGGTTGTGAACTGCCCTGTGGGTGCTGGAATTAAACCCAAGGTCCTCTGCATGAGCAGCCTCTGAAATTAACCACTGAGCCATTTCTCCAGCCCCATCACTTCAGTTTTTAATAAAAGACACTAAAGTACCATTTCTTTAATTTTTAGAGCAACTGTTTTTCCTCTGTTTTCCAAGTGTGGTCATCTACCTGGAGGCTTTGGATAGCAGACCTGGAGATCTGAATTGAGAGGATGAGAAGTGTCACTAACTCGTCTTTTAGTTTAGTGCGGTCTAATTAATGGAATGTAAATGGTCTTTGTCATTTTAGATTTTCCAGTATCTACATCACCATAGGGGAAAAAAACTACTTTTCTTCTGTTTAGTCTTGTGTGGTCTGGAACTCACTAAATATAGCCCAGGATGACTAGGTTTTGCTAAAACAATCTGTCCTATCTCAGTTTTCTGAGTGCTAGGACTACAGATGTAAACCACGATGGCTAGCTTAAAACAAACCTTAATAGTCTATTTTACTTTACATAAAGTCTCTGCAATTTTATTTCATAACATTGTGCATACAAGTTATAGCTAGGTATTTTGTATCCTTCTTCCTTGTGCCTTTGAAATCTGTCGTATGGTTTACTGTTGAAGATTAGGCTAGACACATTTCTCAGGTAACCGTTAGGTAGAATTGTATTGAGGGAAATTCAAAGGAAGCTAGCCCTTTCTCTAGTTGAGCCTGTGGTCATTCTCACACTCTTCTTGTGTGTTTCTCTTTATTTGAACCGTTTGTCAGGCCAATGTAACACGCAGTGGTGTTGATGCTAAAGTGAGTGCCTGCGTGGCTTTAGCTTGCTTGATTATGCATCATTGTCCTGGAGCAGTTTGGGAGTTAGGTGCTGTAGCTGTGGCAAAAAGGCAGGTTTAGAAACACAAATTCAATCAACATGGGAGACATGCCATTTTATTGTTGCTAAGATGTATATTTTTTTTGCATTTTAGAATATCTGAAAAAAGGATGTGTATTGTTGGTTGTGTGATGGTTTAAATAGTAGTGCAGTTTTCTTTTATAGAAGAACTTGAAATATTGTGCTCTAATTTCTAATTGATAATGTCATGTTTAATCAGGTATAGTTAGCATATTTTATTATTAGAGATTTTGGAGTCCTCTAGAAAAAGAGAATCAAATCTAACTTTTATTTATGTGTTCAATGTTACAAACCTAATTTCATTCTTGTCTCAATAGTATTTAAGTATGATTGACTTTTTGGAGTCACTGGATTATATGGTTAGAAATGCTCCCTATAGGAAGTACAAGCCTTGCTTACCACTTCACAGCAACTGTCGGCAATGGTAAGTTAGAGTTTGTTCTTTTTATTTAAGTCTGTCTCTCTCTCTCTCTCTCTCTCTCTCTGTGTGTGTGTGTGCATGAAGATGTGCTTGTCTGTGTGGGTTTGTGTGGAGACTGGAGATTGATGTTGGATGTCTTTCCCAATAGCTTCTCTCTACTCTATCCCTACTTTTTGAGACAAAGTCTCTCACTGAACCCTAAGCTTTTCCTTTGTTCCATCTCCCAATCGCCCCAGCCCTGGGGCCGCAGGTGTGCACCAGTGAACCTGGCTTTTACTTGCATTGTGGGGATGTAAACTCAGGTCCTTATGCTTGCTCAGCAAGCACCTGACCACTGAGTCATCACCTTAGCTCTTGTTCTTTTATTTTATGAGGAATGAATAATCATATAGCCAGGACATTCAGATATAAGAGACCTTTAAGGCCTTGTTGTCCAGACACTTCAAAAACAATAAGAAAACAGATCTTTTATGTCTGTGCTATTTTTTTTCCCCTCACAAATCCCTCATTTTATATTTTGCTTCTGGACTCCTAAAGTTTCATTTTAGCATTCAAGACTTTGAATGTGCTTTAAAAAGTCTTGTCAGTTGTCTGCACGGACAGAGTATTCCCAGCATAACACAGTCTGTAGTCCAGATTCACTTAGCAGTGGAGATGTATTGTGAAATGCAGCCACGAATGGACTTCATGATTGTGTGGATGTCATGCAGTGTGAACTAAAGTAGCTATGCCGTATTTTTAATATAGCCATGAAACCATTGTCCTGTATGTGGTCTGCCACTTGGTAAGACGTTGCTATTGAACAGTGACTACATTGTTTCCCGCATGTACCATTTTGTGCCATTGTGGTTTTGCTTTGGCACATCCTCTTCCGAGAGTGTTTCTTTGCTCATTTTATTTAGGTCAGAGAGTTGTACTGGGACCTGGCAGTGTTACTGTGGGAACTACTGAAGATGGTGAAGAACAACAATAAAAATCAACAATATTGTGTCTCTGAAAAGTCTAAACTCTTTTCTTGAACCTTTATATTCATATGTACATTAACAAAATTTGACTTTAGGTGGAAATATGCAATTGATTCTGTTCTTGAAGTTCATATAAGAAGATACACCCAGATGTGGTCATGGAGCAACATAAAAAAACACAGGCAGTTACTCAAGAGTTACAAAATTGCTTACAAAAACAAGTTAACACAAACCAAAGTCTCAGAAGAAATACAGAAACAAATTCAGGTATATATTTCATATATCAGTATTGCTATATGTCTAATCACCCTTTAATATTCTGTTTGTTTGTTTGAGATAGGCTCTCATGTAGCTCTGGCTGTCCTGGAACTTACTATGCAGAACAGGCTGGTCTTGAACTCATAGAGATCTGCGTGTCTTTGCTTCCCAAGTTCCGGGATTAAAGGTGTATACCATTAAACCCAGCTCCTTTAATATTCTTATGTGTCTAGTTTGAATTGGAATATAATTTCACAAAGAACAGACTTGTTGCTTTGAAATGAAATGAATTAGATGAGGAAATAGAGCATTCTTTCTTACTTTTTCTTTTCTTTATTTTTATTAACCAACAATCTCTTTTCCATAGCATGATGTCACATAAGTAAAACTAGTAGAGACTATTTGGGCAAATGTGTCTGTTTTTTCTAGTACTGTTTAGAAAATGGGCACCAGCCTCCTTTAAATGTTCATTTGTTAGATCTTGTTGTGTTTATATAAGTCCCCACACTTATTATACAGTGTGTTCTTTTCATTTTAGAACTTAAAGTATTATTTATAAACAAAACAAAAACACTTTCTTCCTTGAGAGAGGTTGGGAATCTTTCTTGTACCGTGGATGGAGAATTTGCTTAGTAACATCTGGTAGCTGGTGCTGTCTTTGAGTCACAGTGTCCAGGATATGAGACGAAGCTGGACTCCTGTGGTTTGGAGCAATGATAGTCACCAGTGTGACCCAGAAAGAGCATAGGTGTGGAAGACAAAGATCGGGACTCAGGCTCTTGGTGTTTACCAGCTGTTCAGGTCGCAGACTCTTTCTCAGCTGCTCAAGTCTAGTGCTTCTTCTTAGTAAAGTAAAAACATCTGTCTTACTGTCCTGAGCATTGTATAAACCAGTTTGTATAAACATTGTCTGAGATATGGATGATCCAGTTAATGTTAGGGTCTCTCTTTCTCCTTTAGTATACTTGGTGATGAAATGGCTCTCCATCTTTTTATTCTTTTTTTATATGTTATATCCTTAAAATTATGCATATATGCTTGTCTATGTGTGGGTAAGTACAGGTGCCTGAGGAGGAAAGAGGGGGGCATCAGAGGTGGAGCTGGAGTTATAGGTGGTGGGTGAACTGTGGTAGGTGCTGGAAACTGAACTCCAGTCTTTGCAGGGAATCCAGTGCTGTTTTCCAACTACCTCTTCAGCTCCACACATCCCCTTCTTTTTTCAAACCTCTTAAAACATGTACTTATTTTATTTTATTTTATTTTATTTTATTTTATTTTATTTTATTTTATTTTGTGTGAGTGTTCTGCCTGCACATATGCGTGTGCGCTCCTTGTGTGCCTGGTGCCTGTGGAGGTCAGAAAGGCCATCAGGTCTCTTGTTACAGAGGCTGTGAGCCACCGTGTGGATTCTGGGAACTGAGTTTGGGTCCTTTGTCAGAGCAGCCCAGTGCTCCTAACCTCTGAGCCATCTCTTTAGCCCTAGCACAGTTCCTGTCATAAACATGTCTCACAGAAAAAAAGGTTTATTTTCAAGTTAGTTAATAAGGATTTAACTTTCTATAAAAGTTATTTCCCTTACTACAAGAATTGAAGTGATTAAAAGCCTAATGTCCATTTTAGCTCATGCTTTCATTAGAACACTGTCAGTGTTGGCAATGACTAGATGAGTCCGTCAATCATAGAGTATGTTTTTTTATCTAATCTTTTTTTCCTTCGTTTTGCAGGACTTGGAGAAGAATCTAGATGTCTTTAACATAATCTTAGTGAGACAACAAGCACAAGTTGAGGTAATCATTTTGGCTAACTTACTTTATTTTTCTTTCCTTTCTTTCTTTTCCTTTATTTTATCTCTCTTTTTGTTTTTGCTTTTGTCTTCTCAAGACAGGGTTTTGGCTGTCCTAAAACTCTCTTTATAGACAAGCCTGGCCTCTAATTCCCAGAGATCCACCTGCCTCTGCCTCCCAGAGTACTGGAATTAAAGGCATGCAGTACCACACCCAGCTGACTGTATTCTTTATTATTGAGTTAATAATACTGCTGTAAACTCAGGATGAAGAAATCCTTGTTTTATGGGAAGTTGCTAAGATTTACCCAAATGAGAATAGAGATTGGTCTTTATTGATTGCCTCATTTACTCTCTAGGGAAAACTAACTGGAAAAAAGCTGCTAACCTAAGAAGAAGGAAATTTTTGTGTAATCAAAATTTTGTAAAAACATAAATCTAAGCTCTCCATTGTTCTAGCGATTTGGAACTGCCAGTTCACATTTGGCTTCTGGCACGTGATTTTTCTTATGATTTAGAGTGCTTGCTTCTGCTTTTCAGCTACTCATTACTCAAAGCTTTTTCCCCTTTCTTCTCCTTTCTTCTTCCCTCTTATGTCTTCCCTCCTGACTGCTTTCTCTTTCGTATTTTGTAAAAGCAGGACCAATCTGTCTATAATGGTTCTGTCCTGCCTGTCCACCAGGACTCAGTGTGCTTTGTTCTGTCACATCTTTTCCTTCTCAGTGATTAAAAATGAATTATAAGTTAGATAGAGCTTCTAAAAACATTACAAAACAGGTCAGCAGAAGAGAGCAGACGCTCTCATTACCTCACATGTTGTCTCAGCTGCTCAGCTGCTGCCTGGAGCTGTTTGCGGTTCCTTTTAAGTCCTTTCTAGAGATTTTGTGGGCATGGCGCCCCCTGTTCGGTGATGCTGGGGATTGAGCCCATTGCTGCATCACTCAGCTGGCCTTCCAGTCAATACTCATTTTAAAATGACACCAGAGCATATGCACATATTCATTTATCTAGCAAAAACTTCATGAATTCCTGTCATTCTAGATTATGGTTAAGTGTGTGGACTTGAAGGGTCAGATGGTCTCCATTTTGCAGGCCTTTGGTTTTGTGACTTGGGGCTAGCTATTTAATCATTTGTGCTTTGGTTTTCTCATATATACAATAACCTGTGTCCTGTGCTTCTTGTGGGGGAATATTTGATAATTCATTTAAAACACTTGGACTGTTATGTGCCTTAGGACTGACTAAGTGCATGATTTTTTTTCTCTCTTTACCATTTGTATTGGCATATGGAAGTGAGCAAAACAAAGACATTCCTTTCAGTGGGAGAGAAGGATAATAAATACACAATTAAACATAAATAGGCAGGGATATGGAGAGTGCTGGGGCTCTAATGATAATTGGGATTGCAGTTTTAAACAGGAGAGCAGAGAAAGCTTCACTCAGAAAGGGAGATTGGACCAATGACCCAAGGAGGGTGGAGGAGACACCAGGAAGCTGAGCCAGGAGGAAAGGAGAAACTGTACCAGTTCAAAGGTTTTGGCCTGGGAGTTCCTCTGGCTCATTCAGTGCTATGAGGGGGGTTGGGTGGGGATGGCAGCCACTGTGATTTACAGGAAGTGGCAGGGTGAAGTGGTCCTGCTGGGAAGGAGGTTACCGTGTGGTGTGTAGGCTCTTATTAGCAGGGTGGATTTTGGCTCTTATCCTGAATTGGCAAGTCTTTAATACTGATTTTAAGAAACAGGATGTTGTAATTGGGCATGCTGTAGAACTCAGTCTAGCTGCTTTGCAAACAGCTGTAGGAGAGAACACAAAGGTACTAATAGGCCAGTTGCTGTTGAAATGGTGACGGGTGGCAGGAGCTTGTCGGAGGACAAAGAATGTCCCAGAGTCTAGATGTTTTGAAGGCAGAATTTATACTATCTGATACAGGTTAGATATAAGATAGTTAAAAATCCTTGGGTTATTTTGGTATAAACCGTTGAAAGCATAGTTCTGTCATTACACAAAATGGGGAAGACTGGAACATCTTGGGTGCAGTAGGAGAGGATCCAGAGTTCACATTAGATACAGGAAGATGAGCTCAGAGTTTAGAAGAGAAGTCTGTACTGCACTAAAATTCAGGATGGGTTAGACATGTGAGGTTGGATAGTCACCTAAGGAACTGGGAAAGAGTTGCAGAGACCAAAAGCCTTCTGTTGTCATGCTCAGAGAGATGGGAAACAACTCAGAGTGGATTATGGGGTGATGCTTAGTTGAAGGAGGGAATCTATATGAACACAGCTTCAAATTCAGGCAGAAAAAGGCTAGGAGGAGAACAGCCTGACCGCCTATGACCGCCTGTGGTAGACACACCTGATTGGCAATTGAGCCCATACTCAGATCTGAGTTGCACGTGTGTTATGCTTCCAAATAATTTTTCTTTCTTCTTTTCTTTTTGGATGACTGTCTTTATTTCTTGCTTGCTCACTCTGTCTATACACACACACACACACACACACACACACACACACACACACACACGCAAACATCTATATAAAATGTATATAATATAAACACGAATATATGTTAATGCTAGAATAAAGTGCCATGTTTACTATATCTTGATATCTTCTCCTGCCCATTTCATATCTCTTCACTCTTGAATGCTTGCACCCATGGGTGATTTAGGACAAACACTGAACATTTCCCCCATGCTTGGCCTTGTAGCCAGTCACCAAGGCTCCTCTTTCAATATAGAACTTAATTTTTCCTTTTAACTTCTCTTTTTGATTGGTTTACTTTTTATTTATTCTGGGATACTTAAATATGTTATGATGATTTATCATCTATTGAAAATTTTCTTAAAAGTGAATTGAAGATGGTTGAAGATCAGGGAATGATGGCAGAGTCTAAATCATTTACTCCTTTTTGTTTTCTTTTTTAATACTTGTTTTCTGGTTTTTGAAAAATGGCTAAGGAGTAGTAGGAAGCACATTAGGCTTTATTTGAAGCAAGAGATGAGGTGGGACTTGAGGACCGTTTCTGTCACTATTTCTCCTTCCCCCCCCACAAACTAGTTAGCAAACTAATAATGTGTGTAAATTCAGAAGCATCTTTCTTTAAAGATTAATTTTCATTTCATAACCCTGTGATCGTAGTGTCTCATTAAATACCTGCTCACCACAGTGCATAGAGAAATTCACTCAAGTCCTTAGCTAAATGGTGTGTCTTCCCCAAAATTCTGTCAGTAGGTGTAGGAAGTAGGTTATCCACAGACCACACTGTCCAGGCCATTCTATGAGCATCGCTTCAGAAAGAAATGACTGGCCTTCTCTCCCGTCTTACCCCGTTGAAGCATTAAACAAAATTGACCATGGTAATACTTCACAATGAACAGAGTGTTTCTTCTGAACTGATCTTCAATTTTTATTTTTCAGGTCATTCATTCTGGGCAGAAATTAAGGAAGAAGTCTGCCGAGGCAGGAGAGAAACGTGGCTGGTTCAGTGGGTTTTGGGGAAAGAAAGAGTCTAAGAAGAAAGATGATGAAGAATCATTAATCCCTGAAAGTAAGTCTCAAGGCAGGGAGTCATCATCCACTGACAAGAAAAAGCCACACAGATCCTGTCTCATGTAGCCAGCAGAGGAACATGTGAGCACGTAGGGCAGAACACGTGAGCACATAGGACAGAACACGTGAGCACATATGACTCAGCAGAGGGGCATGTGAGCACACAGGACAGAGCACATGAGCACATATGACCTAGCAGAGGAGCATGTGAGCACACAGGACAGAACACATGAGCACATATGACCCGGTAGAGGTATGTGTACGTGAACACATACGACAGGCTGCATAATTGCTTTGTTTGTCTACCTAGAGGAAAACTTGAGATTTCTTGAAAAATGAGTTGTGAGAAATTTAACATATTCATGCTTAGAGGTCTCAGCATTCAGTATTCCTTATTGTTAAGCTTGAGTTGGATTTTAATGACACTAATCTTTGAATGTTTTAGAGAATTTAAAAATGTACATGTCTGAGAACTGAATTTCCTTAACAGTGAGTGACTTTTTGCAGTTTCTTAACACAAACAGGCAAATACAGGGTGTTTGTTTTAATTAAGCAAAATGGCCTGTTAGAGGGAATCAGGTGGTTGGTTTTGCTTTACATTTGTGTCTGTACTCTTTAAAAAAAAATCTATAAAACTAAAGCCATTCATTTCCTAACTGACTGTCTTGTAGCCATCGATGACCTTATGACCCCAGAGGAAAAAGACAAGCTCTTCACTGCCATTGGCTACAGTGAGAGCACATACAACCTTGCTTTGCCCAAGCAGGTAGGTGTTGGGTGCCTTCACACGTGTCTCAGTTCACTCGCTGGATTATCTTGAGGTGGGTTAAATTAGTCATGTTCTAAGCAGCTACTGAAAATGTGTTGTCCTTAGTTGGGTTTCCTAATGCTCTTCTGGGGTCTTACCAGTCAAGATTCAATGGTAGGACTGCTTGACTGAGTAAGAGGATGAAAGCTGGTAACGGTTCTTGTTAAAGTGTGCAGTTGAATCTGTAAAACATGGTTATTGTGAAATTTAACTCAGAGCAAGAGCAAACAAATCAAAAATGGCCTGCCCATTTGATAGGCTGAGAAGTCACTGGCTGCGGTGACTAGGTGCCAAGGTTTAGAACATTGCAGCCATCCTAGAATCCCCTGTGCCTCCCCTCATTTCTACCGCAGAGGTAACCGCTGTACTGATTTTATTACCTCAGTCACGTCTTTAATTTCCGTTTGTGTTTTGCTGTAAACACCATGACTTTGTTCTGCGTACTTTTTGTCTTTCTGCAAATGGAGGCACAGGCACGTTTTCTTTTGTCTGGCTTTGTAGTCATCTCCTCTGTTGCACCTAATATATTTTGCTCATTTTCTTTCATTGCTGTGAGGATTCTATCTTTAAAAACAGCAGAACTTGCTTATTTGTACTTCTGTTGACAAACATTTGGGTTGTCTTTATTTCTATTTCACTTTCTTTCTTAACTGTGTGTTTTCATTTCCATTGAGGAAATATCTAGGAGTGAAATTGTTGGGTCATAGGAGAGATGTATATATAACTTAAGAAAGAAGCTCCCCAAGTATCACTCATTGTGATGGCCATTCTCTGTTTACCTTTAGCCATTCTAAGGAGGTAGCGTGCTATCTCACAGTATTTTTAATTTGTATTATTTTAATAATGATGTTGAGCATGATTCCGTGGCTTGTTGGCCATCCTGTATGTTCATCTGTAAGTGCCTATTTTTAGTCAGGGGTTTGTCCTTCCGTTGCTGTCTGGGGGCCTCTTTGTGGAATTACTTACATGCCGTGCCATATCTTTTGCATTCCTATCACCAGTTTTAGAAACATCTTGTGCTTTCAGGAAAACATGTTGCTGCAGTGCTGTTAGAGATTATGTTGAGTCTGGAGATGATTTTGGGGAGATTTGGAGTTTCATCTCGTGTTCCCTCAATGCTGTGTCTCTGACCATTGTCCTTACTTCCCTTCTCTTGGGTGATGTCTGTTGTTTTCTTCCTTCCAATGAAGATCTGCTTGCAATATTTTCCCATGTGTCTTAAGAATCCCCCTGCCACCTTGTGTTTAGAATTCTAGGGTGTTGATTCCTTCTTTAAAAAGGAGTTTTGAGTCCATAATTCTGTCGCTGTCTGCTTATGCTGTTTGTGAGCCTTACTGCATGATAGAGATGTTTATGTTCACACATTTCCTTTGTATGTTGTTTTAATCAATGAAGGGTATTTTTATTTATTTAAGGTTTCTTAGTATAATTTCTAACTTTCCTTTATTCTTGAGCATTTCATACATGAATACAATGAAATATGATCAAATTCATGTCTGTTTCCATCTTCCATGTCCCCTTCTCCTTCAGCATGTCCACTCCTGTCCTGACCCTAACAGCTCACTAAGTCCATTTAGTGTTGTTCTTGTAAGATGGGGGCCAGCCAGTGGAGGGAGTTTTTAACTCTCTACTTTAGGTTTTCAGTATTCACTGTGGTATAGCTTTACACTTGCTTCTGTCTGTGTAGTTTGAATGGCTCATCTCTTCAGTGTGAGTAATCTCTGCCCCACTGCTCTCCAGCTTCTTTGGATGTGTGGATGTGAGCTGTGCGTTTGTGGTGTCTTCTGTCCCCTTTTCAGCTATCTGCATTTCTATCTTTTCACTCTCATTTGAAGAGTTTCCTGTAATTCTCTTTAGCGGTTTGTTCCTGGGCTGCAGCCAGACTGGAGGGCATCTCACCAGTGCCACTGCCTTATGCCAGAACCTGGTTTCCAGTGTATTCTTGTGACCCTCACTTCACAGGCTGCCTCAGTCTCTTCAAAGTTCACACGTGTCAAGGGGAAGCACACCCCCAAATTCTACATCATCTCCCTGGTGGTTGTCTGTCCCAGTGGCACTTTTGGTTTGGAGTATTTTCATGGGTATATATTTTACGTGTGTGCATGTGCCTCTATCATGTGCGTGTAAATCTCTACAGCCATCTGGCAGGTACTTCTTGTGTATAGTTTTTCTTTTTCTCAGCTAGAGGGTTGGTCTGAGACACTTACTTTGCTTAAGTGAAGGCTTCTCAATGGACGTGCCCTGCTTCTGCCACTTCCTCACTGTTTCTTTAAACCTAAGCAAATGAATTTGGATCATTTTTAAGTGTGCTGTCTGTCTGAGTAGGCTTTCATTGAGTTTTCTAGTCTTGTTCACTCATGGGGAGTATGTAAGTACTGGAACCTACAAGCTTTGTTGGGTCATGTGATAAGTCACCATATTTAATTAAGAAGAAACCATTAAAGTTAGTAGTCAGTTACATGTTAACAGTTTTCATTAAAGTGAGTAGTCAGTTACATGTTAACAGTTTTCATTTATTCCCGTTTAGTATGTGGCCCATATACTGACTCTGAAGTTGGTGAGCACCTCTATTATAATCAGAGAAAACAGGAATGTTCCAGAAATCCTGAGAATCCAGATAATTGGCTTGGGTACCCAAGTATCCCAGCGACCAGGAGCACAAGCACTGAAGTAAGTTATGATTTTAGGCCCCAAATGTATAATCTTATGCATCATGAAAGAAGACTGCATAGCAACAGCTTTTATTTCATTTCTTTTGTTTTTGCATGTTTTATTGTGAACTGTTATTGATTATTCTATTCTCCTTCCTTTTTGTGAGTGTTTGTCAGGTAATGTTTTATATAGAGTGTCTGCACTGTGGCAGCTTTTCAGGGAATAGTACATTTCTGTTTTATGTTGTATCTGATAAGAGTATATGCAAAAAAAATCCAAGACTACTTAACACATTACACAACTTATACTAGAATGTGGCATGGAGTGCCTACAGTTTTACTGTACGGCTCAGTTGTTTGCAAGATTTAACTGGAACAGTAGGGGGTGTAGGCAGCTGGATGGGAAGGATGCTAAGAGAAGCAGGAGGCAGGTAGAGGATGCAGAAACATGGCGATGGCATCATCATCAGAATTTGTGCCATGTCCTGGAGTTGACCAAAGCAGGCTTTTAATGTGGATGATAAATAGCTAATGAGACAGTGACTGACAGAAACCAAAGCAGCTTTTGTAGGTAAATGAAGGCCAGCCTTAAAAGATGAGCTGTATCTTTATGTATAGGGCTGGTTCTCAAGGGAGTTTTCAAAGGGTTAGCTATAATTTTATCTGTTGTATACTTGATCTTTCCTTATTGGATAGGATAGAAGCAAAATTAGAACATTGGTACATCACAGGCTTGAGACAACAAGACATTGTTCCATCACTGGTGGCTTCTATCGGTGATACTGCATCATCCTTGCTCAAAATTGAGTTTGAAACCAACCCTGAGAACAGCCCTGCTGACCAGACTTTGACCGTTCAGTCGCAGCCCGTGGAGGTCATCTATGATGCTGTGAGTGTGGACAGAGCGAGACTTTTCAAGCTGCCTCTAGGGATGGGTGATGGTTGCCTCTAGGGATGGGTGATGGCTTACTGTGTAAGTGCACTTGTGTGATGGTTTACTGTGTAAGTGCACTTGTGAGAGTATACTTCTGTGCAAACACGAGGCTCTGAGTATGGATCCTCAGCATCAAGTAAAAGACTGGCAAGGGCACGCGTGTGCCTGTAACCCAGCACTGTGGGAGGTGGGCAGGAGGATTGCCGGGACTTGTTAGCTGCCAGCTCTGTTTGGTGAGAAGCCCTGTCTCAAGGGAATAATGCAGAGAGTGAGCAACAGGACAGCATGCTTTGTCCTCTGCACATATTCATGAATGCACTCAGCTGCATATGCACGTGATTATATATTTATTATATTGTATTGCATTATATATTATATATGCATACACCATAGGGTTGAAAGGATGGCTCAGTGGGTCAAGGCACTTGCCATGCCATGACCTGAGTTCAATTGCCGGAATCCCAGTAAAAACAGTAGGAGAGAACTGACTCGACAGAGCTGTCCTCTGCCCCCATACATGTGCTGTGACATGTGTGCGTGCACGCATGTGTACAAGCACTCACACACTAGTGATAAAATGGAGCTGAAAACATTTTCGCCACGCCCATGACAAGGCTTAGCGGCTTACACATTTTAAGAACATGGTTGAGTGTGTTTAGCACGGTCACAACGTGCCAAGTTGCTGTACCACTAATCTCCAGAACTTTCTTTATCATATACGATCTCTGATATTTTTATATTTAAGTTTTATATGTAGGTAAGAGTGTCCAGCTTTCCTCCTGTCTCTTCTCTAAATGTCTAAGCATGACATAATTCAAGCTCAGTGTTGAGGGATGGCTTTACTCTCTACCTGGAGGCTGAAACCAGGTCATGTCACTTGCCACTTCCACATGCCACTCAGACCTCTTTTCACTGCTGTGACATGCGCAGATTTTCCTCTCTGTAATAAGCTCACTGGGCTGTTCCTTGTGCGTAGTTGTCTGGACTCCTGAAGGGAATTTAGTAGCATAGAATATCTTTGGATTCTGTGGTTCGGAGCCATGGCTGTTTATAACTGAGGTAAGTCCGTTAGATTTATAGCTCAGACTTAACCTATAACCTTTTGTGTTTTAAAATTCTTTTACAGAAAACTATCAATGCGGTTGCTGAATTCTTTCAGTCAAATAAGCAGTTGGATCTTGAGCAAATCACATCAGCTACATTGACGAAGCTGGAAGAAATTAAAGAGAGAACAGCTACAGGTGAAATCTTTAGTGTGTCTAACAGCAGCAACATGTTTCCAATGTGGAAACATTGTGTTCAGCGTAGCTTAGGTTGCTCTCTTTCTTTGTTTTAAAATTGGCTGTTATACATTGGACATAGGTAACTCAGGGTTGGGTAAACTTGCTAGGCTGCCAGGGAAAGAGAATAATGAGGGTGAAGATGCTTCTCTTGCTTTACAGCCAAGAACCCATGCCTTGGAATTACCTTGAGGTGGAGGGCAATCCTTCACCTCCATTCTTCAAAGCCATTCACCATGCTAAGCATGCTTGGTTTTAAAGAACTCAGCAGACTATTTCATCAGGTTGCTTAATCAAAGAAACAAATTGTTCTGTGCTGAGACCAAATACTAGCCTCATGGTATTTACTGTATTATGTATATATGCTATGGGATGTTTATTTTCCACCAACTTAATGCAGTTTTTACTCTACATGCTGAACTGAGAATCCAATTTTTGACAGAAATGACTACTTAATATCTTTCAAGTAACATTCTTAGTCTTTTTGTTAACAGTATCACCATGTACAAGTTGACCTTATCATTTTTTTTTTCTGGTCTTCTTTTAGGACTTACCCATATTATTGAGACTCGGAAAGTTCTCGATTTAAGGATAAATCTAAAGCCTTCTTATCTAATAATTCCACAGATGGGTTTTCACCATGAAAAGTCAAATCTTCTCATTATAGATTTTGGTACTTTTCAGGTAGGTATATATGTATTTTTTTTTTTTTCTATCTTTGACAAGCTTGTTATCTGTGAATCTGAGAGCTTCTTATTTTCTTCACTTCACTTTAACTAAGCCTAGACTTATGTCATACATATTACATGGCTATTCAAAGACAAATCTCTAAAAATTTGCCATTGAGGACTGGGTGGATGGTTTTTTTATTTTTCTCCCTCCTTCCTTCCTTCCTTCCTTCCTTCCTTCCTTCCTTCCTTCCTTCCTTCCTT